ATTTCATTTTTGACAACTTCCAGTTTGCCTAGATTCATACTTCGTACATTCCATGTTCTGATTTTTAGTGGAAGTTTACAGCTGTTTCTCTTCATTTTGAGTTGTACCCCATCAGGAAATGACAGTCCCATGGGCTTTTCTCCCACGAGCTTTACTCCATTCGTGTTATCATAGTCAACTGCTTCCAATTATAGATGTTTGTGTGGTTGGCTTTATCGGTGTACCTAGAGGTTGTGGATTTTTTATTTTATGAATCTGATGGCACTAAATTTTAATTATTTATGTCTGACCCCCTACCTAATTGTTGTTGCTGTTAAATGCCGTCGAGTCGATTCTGACTCAGGGTTTTATAGGAGCAGTGGATGAGTTCGAGCAGCCTACACTGACCTTGCAGTCCAGCACATTTGATAATACATGTGTAGGAAATAATTTAACTAATGAAGCAGTTCGCCATTACCAACCCTACCGATTGTCTGTTTTAACTATGGATTTCCTTTCTTTTCCAGCCTGATCACTCGGATGCTTCAGAGAGATCCTAAGCGCAGGGCCTCTCTAGAAGAGATTGAGAACCATCCTTGGCTTCAGGGAGTGGATCCTTCACCAGCCACAAAGTACAACATCCCCCTCGTGTCTTACAAAAACCTCTCGGAAGAGGAGCACAACAGCATCATTCAGCGCATGGTGCTCGGGGACATAGCAGATCGTGACGCCATTGTTGAGTATGTCCCTCCCCCGTGCAGGCTCACAGGCTGAGGGTTCTTGGAGTGGCCTCTCTTCGTCAGTCCGTGTAGACACTGCACAATGGATAGAATTCCCAGTTGGCAGGAGTTGGCTCTGATTTACCTCTAAAGTTCCTGGCCAGGCCCTGGCACATAGCTTTTCTTGTACATAAGTAAGCTATTGCTGGGTGGTGCCAGCCAGCACTGAGGCCTTTCTTCATTCTAGTGGGGGTAGTTGGACTGTCCTGTACACACCCTGGACACAGTGCTGTCCTCTTCGTTCCCGTGTCGCCCGCCATTTCCCACGGTGAGCAGGGAGAATTGGGCCGTATCAGGCTTGCTGGTAAGTGTTACGGAGTCGCTTCCAACTCCTAGCAACCCTGCGTAGGTTTTCCAAGGAGTGGCTGGAGGGTTTAAACTACTGACCTTTAGATTAGTATTCCGGAGCTTATCCCACAACACCACAGCAGAGCGCCATCAGGGCCTGAGAGTTCTGTAAATCAGAGTTGGCAATGAGGTTTTGAGTAAGGCTTATCTAGACCACAGTGCACCAATTCCCTTCTGTACTGTCCTTGGCTGTCTGGTACCACAGCAGCCTCAGGTCCCTTAGAGCCCATGCTGTCACAGCCTGGAACCCGCAAGTTATACACTTATAGAGTTACACCCCAAGGCCAGGTTTTAATAATGTAGGAACTTTGCAGTTGCTTTGTTTTAATGATAATTTCTCTAAGAGGTCCTGCTATGAGAAAATAGGAACCAGCTCCACCTGAGAAAAATCTGCATTCTCTACCATGTTGCATGAAACAGCTGGGCATGATGGAGAGCGGGTGGGCTCTAGATGGCAACAGTAGTTCCATTTGGAAGGTTGCTCTGGCCTGGTGCCTGGGACATGGAGGCTGCAGGGCACACTTGCTTCCTGGGGCGGTCATAGCCGTCCTGTGAGGGGAGGTGTCTCTACAAAGGACTTGTGTCATTGGGGTGCTTTTCATATTCTGTAAAGAAAGATTTACAAAAATAAATCCACTTCTTAACTGTGGGTTAGTTATGGGTTTCTGCACATTTCCAACGACATTGTGATGAGTCCTCACACTTGACAGCAGCTGAAATGGCCTGAACAAGCAGGAAGAGCAGGAGACTCATTGCTCCTGCCAGGAACTCTCAGTTCCTTGTGTGGCGCTGTAGGATCAACACTGGGCTGCGAACCACAAGGTCACAAGAGTTCAGACCCACCAGCTGCTCCTCGAAAACCCTATATAGGGTCACTGTCAGAGTCGACTCAGTGCCACTTAACAACAGGAAAGGGTTTTGCAGTTTTGAACGGATAAAAAAGCCAAGTTTGCTTAATTATTTTGTAGTAAAATATATGTAGCAAGAATGTTGCCATGCTTCCTGCCCTCAAGTACACAGCTGATTGAAATCAACTACAGTTACCATGCTGTGTACCACCACCATTTCTCAGAGTATTTCATCACCCCAGTCAGTCAGCAGTAAGGTCCCTCCTTCGCTCCCTGCAGCCTCTGGGATCCACTAAGTTTTCTGTGTCTCTGTAGTTGCCTGGTCTAAATTTCGTATAACTGCACCCTCTGTATCCGACCGACTCTTCTCATCGTAATGTTGTCAAGGTTCATCCCTGTTACCATGTATACCTGAGCCCTTTACAAATGTATTGGATTTCATTGGGTTATATGCTTCATCATTTTTAATGTAAAAGTGGAGTTATACAGCGAAATGGAAATCCACTGCTGTCAAGGCCATTCCGAATCATAGTGACCCTGAAGGACAGTAGAACTGCCCCGTAGGGCTTGCAAGGCTGTGACCTTTACAGGAGCGAACACCCCATCTTTCTTTTCCCAGAGCAACTGGTGAGCTTGAACCACCGACCTTCTGGTTAGCAATTCAGTGCTTAATCCACCGCACTACCAGGGCTCCTTGGAATCATCTAGAGCTCTTTAATTAATGCCAATTCCATTAGAATTCCAAAAGGAGGGCGCACTTCTAGTGGTTCCGGTGAGTGCCCTCTATCAGTGAGCGTGTGCCCCAGGTGAAGCAGGAGATAGAGAGCTGGGCCTGCTGTCTCCAGCTGGTCTCAGGGTTTGCCCGCTGCTGGACATTTGTTCTGAGGGTAATTCCTGTGTCTGAAGACCTTAAACACATACTCTGTAGACACAAGCCAACTGCTGTAGCTGGTTCTCAGCTGAGAAACCACTGTAGGTAGGTCTGGCCCCTACATTTCTATCTCGGCTCTTTCGGTAGAATCTCAGACCTGGGCTGTCCTGCCCCAGTGTACATTTTGTTCAGTGTGAGCTTTGCTGTGAATGTTTTCTGAACAGCCTGTGAGGGTGTTCTCACTAATTACAGAAAGTGTTCTGGGCTGTGTGGCTCTCCTGAGCACGGGTTGTGTCCTAGGGCAGGCCAGCTGCAGGATGGTGGGCATGGATTTTGAAGTGGGTGAATGAATACGTTGGTTTTATTTAAACAAGAGTTTTGATAGTGACATCTTCTGCATTACAGTGGTAACTCTTTACTGCCTAGCCTACCAGTAAATGCAGAGTCTAAAAATCCCCCCCTGATTTTCTCTATGTGATGCTATGTTTCAGTGCTTCCATCAAAAGAAACACACACACTCGCTCATTTTATGACAAGCGCTAGACCCTTGGAAGCTCCCTCAGCGTCTCTTAGGCACCTAAAACCGACACTCAGCCCAGCTGCCATCAGCATTGTGGATTTTTCTAACACAGATGTTTTTAGACAGGTTTTTAGAGTTTCATGAGTGACCTAAGTAGCCATTAGCTAGTGGTATTTTCTTTTCTGTCTAGTTTTTTTCTTTGCATAATTTTAAAGCATTTCATTAGCTTGTACTTTTTTTTGTTTCAAATCTGATTTTGCTGCTTGTCAAAAGCATACCTACCAGTGTGTCTTATGTTCACTGTCACTTTGTTTTCCACAGAGCCCTGGAAACAAACAGATACAACCACATCACAGCTACTTACTTCTTGCTCGCTGAAAGGATCCTGAGAGAAAAACAAGAAAAGGAAATACAAACCAGGTCTGCGAGCCCCAGCAACATAAAGGCCCAGTTTAGGTGAGAAAAAAAAACTTCCATGATTTTTTTTTGAATGCTTCCTAACTGTGGGGTGAGAGAGTTCAGTGATCAGGGTCTCCTGTCCCCACTGCCAGTTGCTCCTCTTGGGCTTGGTGTAGAGGAGCTGTGGCTGGTGGCCTGACCAGGAAAGCAGGAGAAGCAGCCTGAAACCAGAGTTGACTAGCAGTGTTCATTAACCTCCTCCAGGTCTGATTATGTACTAATCTGCCATTTTAGTTTCTCATCTCTGGGATGAGGCTGAAATTGTCCCTTATTTGGAATAATTAGATAACTGTATGTGGTGTTTCTGTGCGACTTGCCTCTGGGCAGGCCACATAACTTCTCCAGGACTCAGTTTCCCTCATAAGGCTGTGTGAAGTGCCTAGCTCAGGGCTGCACGTGCTTGCTGTCAGACTATGAGTGTATCACCACCCTTCTTCCTTCCTCCCCGGACCCATCTTTTTCTTCCACTTTAGTTGCTTTCCATGAGAAAGGCTTACTGTTTAAGTCATTATGACATTGATTTCAAAGTGATTTCTCTTTTCTTCATTTGGATTGAGTCTTCTGTGCAGTTGTGCTTCTGAGTAACCCTGTGCTCATGCATCCCAGTACATAGAACTATGTGTGCATTCGTAGTAGGTTTTTTTAAAAGAGGAAGAGAACCAGTTGGATTTTAATTACTTGTCTGTTGTGAGTGGTTTGTTGCCTTTGGTGGAGCAACAAGACGACAGAAGAAAACAGTCCCAGGTTGTCAAATAATGTTTCAGGCATTTTGCTTAACTAGAAAATGAATCTAGTAACTTCATCTGTAGCCTCAGGATTTTTGTACAATATAAAGTAAGTGTAGAGTGTCTGCTTAACTTACAGCCCAAGTGTGGGGACTCTTGGGAGTGAGACAAAGCAGGAGACTGATGTTGAGAGGTGAAGATCACCCCAGTCCCGACCTCACCCCTCCTCTCCACTTACACCATCACTGTATTGGGTGTGGAGCCACCACCAGTTCTTTGGTTTTGATCTGATTTTGTCAATGAGACAGATCAGAATTCAATGTGAAGTTGATCACATGGGTAGCTAAGTCTGTTTTACTTTATTATAGAAATGAGAACACCGAGTCACTGTAAGGAAGGACAGAGTCTTTCAGGCAGTTCTCCCTTGGCCGTCTTCAGGCTTCATTCTGGAGCAGCTGCTGTGCGGGCTTCTCCTCGGTGGAACAGCCCAGGCAGGCACCATATGTCTGCTTCCTTGCCTTTTCTTTATGGTCACTCTTTTTATTGACAAAATCCTGGACTAAATAACTTTGGTTCCATGATTAGATATGCCTTAGGGCCCAGGTGACTTGGACTGAGTCAGGAGATTGGTGAGTGAGTGCAAGCCAGGCAGGTCCGCAGCATGGACAGCAGAGCAGCCCTGGACTCATTACCTGACTAGGGAAATTGATGGCAGGTGGTGACAGGAAGCTGAGGTCTACTCCTGGCTGATGGTGTCAAGTGGGTGGACAGAGCCCCAACCTGGTGGGAACGGGAGACGACGACTTCAGGAATGTGGACTTCAGGACACACTCAGTGGAGGGTGAGGTTTGTGTATAGGCAGATCTGCAGAGCTCGGGGTGTGGTGTCTGGAGTTGGTGAATCCAGTGGCTTAAGGTTTCTTCAATTTCAGATCTGATCAGAATATAGGTATTACGTTGGTCATGAAAATGTGAGTGTGAGCTGCCTCACACTTTCCCATTACAGATTATGACGTCTGAGAAAGGCATGACCATTTAGATTTATTCCTCATCTAGAACTCTTGCGGCTGTCTTTGGGGTTTCTGCACACTACAAAGTCTTCCAGTCTACAAGGAGTGCTGAGGGCACACAGCTGGAACCTTCTAGGGTCAGATCAGGTTGGGGCATCTGGTAGGTGACACCTGATGGTTCTGGAATGAAAATAAAGACACAGTGTTCTCACTGTGAGCGCAGCGTCCTCACATGCTGTCTGCAGTTGTCGCTTGTGACCACTTCAGGGCGTACTGCTTCTTAGCTTCAACTTGGGATTTTATTTTTTTGAATAGTTTCACTGTGCCAAACATTTTAAGCAAACGCGTATGTAAGCATTGTAAGATACTTTCCATACGGCGCTCTCTGATACGTGTTTGTTCTTGCGGATGATGACTGTTACTGGGCACAGGCCTTTGAAAGTTCACTGGGTCCGTCATGGAAACTTGGTGGGGTCATGCTGCTGATCGAGGGGCCTCGTGAAGTCCTTGGGGGGCTGGTACCTGGGGCCTGGCCGCATCGGCTGCACTGATGCCACAGGCCACAGGCCATGCTTAGGTGCTTCATTGGCTCGCCGAGTGTTGTCCTACGCCCCATCCCTAAGCCTGTGTGGCAGGCTGCTATACTCTGTCAGCGGCATAAGAATAGTGCCTCCCTCGTGGAGAGACGGAGTCAGCCCTGTGCGCCTCTGCACAGTGGCAGGTTTTTAGTGAGCTGTGCCCCTTCACAGTGTGGACTCAGTTACAATTCTTGGTTCCAGTTCTCCTTCCCTTTTGTTGACATGTGACATTATTTTTCTCTCTCAATGGTGTGGCTTTGAGGATGACTTACTCCATTTAGCATGGTGTTGGGCTCGGAAAATATGAATTCTAATGATTGAGTCTACTCAGGAGGAACCCTGGGTGCCTGCTCATATGGCAGCCCCCACAGCTGCCTTCTTGAAGTGGCTCTGAGTGTGTTTACGTTTCATTCTCTCTCGCTTCTCTGCCGAGGGTTCCTCTGTCAGGTGGGTTTTTGGTGGCATGCATGCACAGTTCTCCCTCTGGGAGCAGGTCTGTGTGTGCAGCTCTTCAGGGGCCATGCACTTTCATTTGTGGAGGCTAGGTAACTTGTCCAGAGATACCCCTTGACCACACAGTATTTGTTCATCTCCCAAGCCAAGACTAGCAGGTGTACCATCCTCGAGGGAGAGGACAAGGCTGTGAGTCCGACAAAATTGCTGTGAAAATGAACATGTCCACAGTGTGAAAGTGGCTGTTGTAAACATGTCTGGCATCAAACGTGTGTGCTAGTCCTCAGGGGCAGAGTCCCAGTGGAGACTCCCTGGTGTCATTCAAAGCAGAGGCTGGAGAGCCTCAATGTTGAGAGAGTGAACTCCAGATTCAGGAACGCTGTCTGTTTAAGTAACAGTGATGTTTGCTCTCATCTCCTGTGTGGGCATTAAACACATGTTTGTGCACATTTAGTTTGCTGCTAAGTACCATCAAGTCAGTTCCGACCTTTGTATTGGGTTTCTGAAACTGTACATTGTTCAGGAGCAGAAAGCCTCATCCTCCTACAGAGCAGCTGGCGGGCTCGAACCACCGTCCATGTGGTTAGCTGTCCAGTGCTTATGTTGTGGACCCACAGCGTTCCCTGTATTTAGCTTAAATAAGGGCATGTTTTAGAGAGCTTTTACAAAAAATCCTGAGCTTTTACACTCTCTTGTAGTTTGTAAGATTTGGGGTAAGTTTTATCATAAACCCTTAGAGGCTATGACCTAAGGGCCAAAGGAAGTAGGTGTGTGTTGCTCAGGTTTTGCTTTGCAGTAAATTAAAGCTTTCTTAAGAGACAGAGTTATTCGCCCCTTTTTCTGTTTGGATAGCAGACCGTAGGCTGCCCTGTATTTCGTAACTCATTTGCCCTTCTGACATCCTTGCTGATGTTTACAGGATGTTGAGTGGGTTTGCAAGGCTGTGGCTGCTGCTTTATATGAGTGTGTGTGTGGATTTTACTCAGTAAGTTTTTACCTAATGGCCTTCACTGACATCTGAATATTATTACATGGCTTTTGTCTTTCCAATCTTGTTCCCTAGGCAGTCATGGCCAACCAAAATTGATGTCCCCCAGGACCTGGAGGATGACCTCACAGCCACCCCTTTGTCCCATGCGACTGTCCCTCAATCTCCCGCCCGGGCTACCGACAGTGTCCTCAACGGTCACAGGAGCAAAGGCTTGTGTGACTCGACTAAGAAAGAGGACCTCCCCGAGTTGGCTGGACCAGCCCTGTCCGCAGTGCCACCCGCAAGCCTGAAACCCACAGCCAGTGGGCGTAAGTGTCTGTTCAGGGTGGAAGAGGACGAAGAAGAAGATGAGGAGGACAAGAAACCCATGTCCCTCTCAACGCAAGTGGTTTTGCGCCGGAAGCCGTCGGTGACCAACCGCCTGACATCTCGGAAGAGTGCTCCTGTCCTCAACCAGATCTTTGAGGAAGGGGAGTCGGATGATGAGTTCGACATGGATGAGAATCTGCCTCCCAAGCTGAGCAGGTTAAAAATGAACATCGCGTCCCCGGGCACAGTTCACAAACGTTACCACCGGAGGAAAAGTCAGGGCCGAGGCTCCAGCTGCAGCAGCTCAGAGACCAGTGATGATGATTCGGAAAGCCGCCGGCGGCTCGATAAAGATAGCAGCTTCTCCTACTCCTGGCATCGCCGGGACAGCAGCGAGGGCCCTCCCGGCAGTGAGGGAGATGGTGGAGGCCAGAGCAAGCCGAGCAATGGCAGTGGAGGGGCGGACAAGGCCAGCCCCAGTGAGAACAATGCCGGCGGGGGCAGCCCCTCGAGCGGCTCCGGTGGCAACCCCAACAACACGTCGGGTACCACGCGCCGCTGTGCTGGCCCCGTCAGCTCCGTGCAGCTGGCATCCCGCAGTGCCGGCGAGCTCGTCCAGAGCCTCAAACTCATGAGCCTCTGCCTGGGCTCCCAGCTCCATGGCGGCACCAAGTACATTATCGACCCCCAAAGCGGCTTGTCGTTTTCCAGTGTGAAAGTCCAGGAGAAGTCCACATGGAAAATGTGCATCAGCTCCACAGGGAACGCGGGGCAGGCCCCGGCTGTGGGCAGCATCCGGTTCTTCTCTGAGCACATGGCAGCCCCTGCGGCTGAATTGGAGCGGATAAAGAGCAAGAACCTGAAAAACAACGTGCTCCAGCTACCTCTGTGTGAAAAGACCATCTCTGTGAACATCCAGCGGAGCCCCAAGGAGGGCCTGCTGTGTGCCTCCAGCCCGGCCAGCTGCTGCCACGTCATCTGAGGCCAGCCGCCAGCCGCTCGCTCACTGTCCCCTCCTGTTTCCCTCTTGCTCGGTGGGCGCCAGGAGCAATTATTTCTCACATTGTCATTCGTTCGCTTGACAGTGTGACAATGCATGGTCTTTGTGCATGCTGCTAGACTCTTCTTTTCCAGCCGAAAAAGTCTATTGTGTAATTTTTACTTTTATAATTTTAATGTGGATGATCAGGATTAAAGTAAAATGTATATTTGGAACCTAATATAAATGGAGCACTTAGAAAGAAATTTGATGTTCTGCACTTAACCTAAAGAGGGAGAGAGAGAGAAACAAGGCGTTTGTTTACTTGTGAAAAATCGAACTTCCTGTCCTGACCTTCTGTGATCCTGAGAGTCCGTGCTCTGAGGCACACCCTGTGGTATCTGAGGCAGAACCAAAGCAATAACGTTGTGCTGGGGCCGGAGCCAAGAAGAGTGAGTGTCTGCTGCACTGAGAACCTCAACACTATGATTTGAACATACCCACACCCGTTTGTCTTAAACTATAGCGTGAAAACAAGTTTGGGCTCTTAAAGTTTTAATGGAAAAAAAAAAAACAGATTTTCTTGTTTTTGTAATAGGTGAGAGATAAAGTACTTAGATTTATAAGGCAGCTTCCCCTGTTGTGATGAATTACTTACAAGCAGACAATCTCCTTTTGTAATGTGATGAAGTGAATTGATGATGTCTTAACTCTACTTATAGAGTGTGTGTCTGTCCACCAGAACAAAACCGTGCTCTGTGTACACGCTTCCTGTGGGGCACACCCAGGGCCTTCCTGTAAAACCACGAGGAGAGCAGAGACGGCAGGGCCAGGACACAAGAGGTGCACACAGACGCTGACAAAGCCTAAACCCCATAAATTAAAAACAGAAAAAACGTGTTGGGATCTTTTTTAGGAGTCTGGTAATTGTCTCTTTCATTCGTAATTGTCTCTTTCATTCTTTCTATTCTTTTATATCCTTTGACTAAGCTATGAAAATTGACGCTCTTAAAAACAAAACAAAAAACACGTAAAAGGGTAAAATTCACACATGCACAAAAAGAACCACAAAGCTTGCTTTGTTTTAGTTTTCTTCTACCCTTTAGCTGGGAGTGTTTTTCATGTTGCCGTCCTGCCAAAATAATAATCAAAGAACTCTTGCTTTAAACTCTTCCTGTACAAAGACTACTTTTGACCAGATAATCTTTTGTGGCATTTTATCTTGTTAGGACACAGTATAGGACAGATTGCTAATTTTGGAAGGGGCCAGATGTTTATCTTTCATGCCTAGCTACATTGATGGCTGGGACTCGGGCTGCCCACTCTTCAACTGTTGTGGCTTTGAAATGATGCACTGGGTCACGTGATTGTGGAGTGGGCATAGCGCCGAAGAACTACATTACGTCGGTTGCGGTTCCTTTAAGTACTCACTGACTGCTAACTTTAAGAGGGACGCATTTTACTCAGAACTCTGAAATTTCACAGTATACTGACTAACCTAAGTAGAAATGATACTTAGACACTTACTTTACTTTCTAGACCTAGGCAAGATAGGTTTTAAGCTACAGCTCTAGTTCATTGTGATATTTATAATCAAAAAGCTACAAGAATAGACGTGTGGGTGAAGCCATAGAACATATTTGCTTGAAATTCTTGAGCAGGGATCTTATCAAGGGCCAGAAATAAGATGTGTGGTTCACAGAGAGAGTGAGCGTAACATCTGTATTAAACGTAGGAGAGAAGTTTATAAAGGGCATTGGCAATAAATTCTTTGTTGCAGCTGTTTTCCAAGTAATGTAAATACTTTTCCTGTGATTATGTATAGCCTTGGAATGGCACCTTTTAACTAACCCCCTATGTGTTTGGTTTCCAATGGTTTTTTATATTCAGATGTATATATGGTGCTCACTTTAGGATCAGCAGTGTTGACCATTTATGCTGCATAGCTGTATTATAGCCTTATTAGTTGTGTGTGGTTGGTTGACCCTCTGGGTATACAAATGTTAGTCTGAATGGTGTCTTACTCATTTGTTCATAAGTGAATGATTGTGCATGTGTTGTATGTCATAGTGTGTCGTCACATAAACGGGAGGGAGTGAATAACCATTACATAAAGACAATATTGGACCAAACTACTTAGACAGTTTCTTGTACCCCTTAACCTGTCTTCAAAAGTTGCATATAGTTACAGTAGTGTATAAATTAAATATTGTGGAGAAGCAGTTAGTCTTGTATTTTTCTGTATGTGTGTATATATAATTATGTACTTCTGGCAATTCTATCTGTATTTAAAGATGTGACAATCTTGACACCGATTTTAAGAATGGCCGTAAAACTGAATTGAATGAAAGGTATCCTTACCAAGTTAAGAACTGGTACGTGGGAAGAGGGTACAGGTCAGTTACTTCCAATGTTGGTTGGTTTTCCTCATTGTGTAAACATTGACAGGTATGTGGCAAATGAGAAAAAAAATCCAAATAATAAAGTGACATATTGGTGTTCAGCAATATAAACTGTGTCCTGTGTTGTATTTCTTCCCTTGAAAGCAGCTTCATAGTGTTCCAGCCCTGGCTAGACCCAGCCTTCTCCTACATGTGCATTGCACTTGCAGCTTTAGGTAGCTGGAAGAACACAATAGAAACTTCTTACTTTAAATTCATGAAGACAAATCTCAGGCGGGCCCCAGGGTGCCGGATCATTATACTAATTAACCAAGTTCCCCCAGGTTTCTCACCAGCATCCTTAACACTTGAACAAGGGATTAGAACTGCCATGAGCTCCTGCCTCTAACTTCCTACTTCCCATGTGTCCCTGCCTGCTATGCTCTCTCCTCCTGTGTGTAATTCAAGGTCACTCTTCCACTTACAAGGCCAGTCCTTCCTTCCCATCAGACGCCACCATCACCCACCAAAGCTGTGTTTCTCAAGCTCTACATCCAGTGGCCAATTTTCTAAATTGAGACACACTTTACACACCATACAACTTGCTATATTGCTCCATTCAGTGCCATTAGAAGATATTCACTGGGTTGTGCACCTGTGACCACGATCAATTTTTACAATAGTTTCATCAAACCTCATTCCCACTAAAGCAAGCACTAGCAGAAACCCCAGTGGGCAATCCCATATTAACATTTGATGAGTTGATGGTTCTTCCTTGTAAACTTCCCATCTTTCAGGATCCTACTTGGCTTACCTGTTGCTCTTCATTCTTCTGGATCCCCCTCTCCCAACCACTGGACTTAGAATGCCCTAATGTTAGATTTTGGACCTTGCATGCAGTTTCTTGGTCTCATTCAGCCTAGAACATGTACACGCCAAGAGAACCCCCCCCCCAAACTATGTAGCCCACATTTCTCCCAAGAACATCAGACTCCAACTACAAATTTGACTTCTCTGCTTGCGTGTGTCTAATATCTCACCATCTTGGGTGAGACCTACCTACCCCAGTGTTCCCCATCTCAGGAAATGGCTACTTCTAATTTGTTCATTTTCTACAAGTCAGAAATCTTTGTGTCACCTTTTATTCTGTCATCCCAGAACCCAACCCATCAGCACACTTGACTGACCACTCAGCACCCTGCTCCACGGCACCATCATCACTCATCGGAGCCGCTGTAAAGGCCTCTTCAAGAAAGAGCACAAATCAGCGAGATAGAAAACAGAAAAGCCATAGAAGTAATCAACAGGACAAGGAGCTAGTTCTTTGAAAGGATTAATAAAATTCACAAGCCATTGGCAAACCTAAAAAGAGGGAAAAGACACAAATAACACGCATAAGAAACCACATGGGTGACATCACAGCAGAACCAAGAGAAATAAAAAGGATAATAACAAAATATTATGAAGAGCTGTACTCCAACAAATTTGAAAAATCTAGAGGAGATGGATTTTTAGAAAAGCACCACCTACCTAAACTTACACAGAGTGAAGCAGAATACTTGAACAGACCTGTAACAAAGGAAGAAACTGACCAGGTCATCAAAAAAAACCCAATCAAAAAAAGTCCAGGCCCAGATGGCTTCACTGCTGTTTTTTTTTAACCTAACATTCAGGGGAGAGCTGTCACCAATTCTTCTAAAAAAATTCCGGAATATAGAAGAGGATGGAAAACTTCCTAATACATTTTATGAAGCATGCATAACACTCATAGCAAAACCAGGGAAGGACGTCACTAAGAAAGAAAAGTACAGACCAATATCCCTTATGAACACATATGCAAAAATTCTCAACAAAATCCTAGCCAACAGAATCCAGCAGTACATCAAAAATATAATACATCCTGACCAAGTGGGATTCATATCAGGGAAGCAAGGATGGTTCAACATTAGAAAAACAATGTAATCCACCATATGAATTTTAAAAAAAAGGACAACAAACAAAATGGTGGATCGGGTGGAAGTGCAGTGAGGAGCTCCATCAGCAACAACACAGAATACCGGACCAAGCAGGCTCAGGGGATAGTCCCAGAACTCTGAACCACTTAAAAAGGAATATTTACAGCCAGTGGAATTTGTAGCAGAAGCAAGGAATCCAGTGCTTTCTAATCCAAGACACTAAGCTGCTCCCTGAGCAGCCATCTTGGGTGAGACTGAATTGGGGAAGGATCAGAGCAGCCAAGGACGCCTGACAGGACTGCGGAGATAAAGGTGTGGACATTTTTTTCCTGTTTATTGGCCTCTCGCTGTCTGCACACCTCCATTTTTTTGACTAGAGGGGGTGCCTGAGCCAGTGGACAACCCACTCCCACCCCCTGAGGGTTCTATTACGCAAGCACACAGATCTGAAAATTTAAAGTGACAGTTTCCACTTAAAACCAAACGGCAGTGCAAAACAGCCACAGCCGGCCCTGAACTGTTTATCACTGGAAAAAGGCCTGAACGAGGGTTGTGGAGCAGGACAGGCAGACTAAAAGGGAAACAAGCTGAAAATTAAATCCTGAATTATGTCAAAATGACCAACAGTGGCATCTTGAAATTTTTCAGGAAGAAGAGTGAAAAGGGA